AAATAAATAGATTAGCATATTAGAATGACTTCTGAAGGATGACGTGACACTGAAGACTGGAGTAATGGTTGAAGAAAATTCAACATTGCCATTACAGGGAAAAAAATAATAATTTTATATTCTATTAAAAATAGAAAATGGTTATTTTAAATTGCAAAAATATTTCACAATATTACAGTTTTTATTGATCAAATAAATACAGCCTTGGTGAGCATAAGAGATGTCTTTCAAAAACATTTTAAAAAGATTTTGAACATTATGTTATTTTGGGGGTTGCACCATAGGACATTTTACTGCCTGAAATAACCTTAAATAAATACCAAAATGTCAAATGTTCTGTTATTTCAAAATTCTTTCTGACCTTGATACACAGTAAGAAAGTAAGATGCAAGAGTCATCTCAGTGATATCAATTGTTCCATGTTTTTTTCTCTGTTTGTGAATGTTGTCATTTTAGACTTTATGCCCCTCATTCATACACACCATATTCAAGTCACTGAATGTATGAATTCCATTTTTAATGCACTTTTGAATCGATTAATAAGAGACAGAAAGAACTAATCATGTCAATGACCAACAACATTACAAAGCAGAGACACAACAGAATCAGTGTAACATAATAGATTTAAAACATTATGAAGGACAGGAGTCAGGACTTCAGATACACTAATTGATCTCAAATTATACATACATTGCACCAAATGAGAGGCCAGCAGGGCGGCAGTGTTTTCCGTACAGTTCAGTCGGCACTCCATTAGATCCCTCTTGATTTGCAGAGAAAACAAGTACCTGGAGAAAAAGCACATAACAAGCACGGTTCACCTTGTCTATGAGTACATAAAGGATGGATGATGATTTCTGAACATCTTACCTAGTAAACTCCTCCTGAAGCTGACCAGGATCTGGAGGAAAGAACTTCACCGACAGCCGAAAGAGTGTGTTCATTGGCCCTGTGGATAGTAAGTATAAACACACAGGTTTCAAAGACCCCCAAGATCCTCTGATGTCTAAACACAACACAAAACAGAAAGTCAACTTACGTCTCACTTGTTTCACTATGAGCTTGGTGGGCTCCAGCCAAACCTGTAGAAACAAAACCACCAAG